GCACGAGTGACAGCACTGCAAGCAAGCAAACAACCTTGGAGCGTTCCGAGTGAATCCGGAGTCAAGTCTTGGTCCGGCACGCCCTGACAAATTGACTGAAGCCAGGCATGGGCCTGACTCCAATGCGGGCACTGAACCTTGGTGATAGCGGCCGGGTCCCCGGACGCAACCTGAGTACTAGGTGCCCTGTCGTCCTTGGTGGTGTGACTTCGACTCATCTGTTTGAGTCGCTTCAAAGGACTCTTTTTTTTACCTTTGGAGCGTTGCTTGGAAGCCTTAGTTTTACAAGGCGAGTCGAACATGTTCTGGCCAACAATGGTGTGAGCAGAAGGTGTTGGCATATCACTAAAATTATTCGTGGGTTTTCGAGAACTCCTAGCACTTTTACCATGCAACGAAATGGTGTGGACCGAAGGAGTGGCCATGCTTGACGAAGACTTGGCAGCGCCTTGAAGTTCATGTCTGGCAGGAAAAACCGTTTCTTTTAACCATGCATTGGGCACGGTCTCTTTTTGTGGAGGTTTGAGCCAAGTGTAGTGATCATCCTTCAAAAGGACAGCAATTGGCTGGGTTCCCTTAGCAGCTTTGGCCCATCCTTGGTCAAAGGTAGGAGCCAACGTGGTACGCCGCCACGGCGCCTTCTTGTTTTCCTTCTTCCAAATTACAATCACATGACCCGTTTTGATGGACAGGGCCCTCAGTGCGATCCCATCAATCCAGGTTCGAGGTCGACCCATAGCATCGAGCCAATCTTGAAACGAGGATTGTGATTGCAAAGTAGGATCCTCGTTAGCAGTTTCAGGATCAGGAGCGAAAAAGGGAAGGAAGCTCTTTTCATGTTTGCGGCAGTGGGTCACCACCTGACTTCTGAGTTTGGCGCCAGCACGTTGGCATTGTTCTGGCGTCCTGACTTGGGTAGGATCTTTGTAGTAATCCAAGGCGCAGCCAATGGCCCTGAATCCGCAATCTCCGTTTCCCCCAAAATCAACTTCTTCAAAACCTTTGTTGTTGATAAGATCAGCAATTTCATCCCATTCCGGTTTGATCATTTCCGTGGTTTCTTTGAAGTCCAACTTTTTCGGCTTAACCCTAGCTGGGCTTCGGCTTCTGGGGCGATCTTTCTCTTGGCCGTTGCCATCACCCTCAACGGCCTCTTCATCTTCTTCACTGTTTTCAGGTTCATCAATCTGTGTATCAAGAACTTCATGATCCTCATGAGTTCGTTTCTGTGTTTCGAACCTGTGCTTTGGAGGAGTGGCAGGCTGCACATGCTGAGGCTTAGGAAACCGACCCTCCGCCTTAGTGACATGGATTTCTAAACTTTGGTCAACATCGTCCACATAATGCCAAGTGCAATTGGAATTGGTTGGATCATAAGGATCATCAGGAGGCTGAGCTTTCAAAATCCATTTGACCTGGCGACGGAAATTTCTCCAGGTGATGGGCACAACTTGTTCCCACCCTTGTTCTTCCATGAAAGTCGTGACATGCGTGGCGTCCCAACTTCTCGGGACACCGTCAATATGAACGTGGATATTCTTTTTGGGTATGCTATCAGTGGGAAGATACAGAATACCAATATCCGAACCTCCACCCATCCGAAATTTCAAGGATTGGCCACGAGCAATGGCCTCATTCATGCTTTGCCGGAGATAATTATCACAAGTCATGGAAGCCGCTTTGAGAAGCCATCTGACCTTTTCAGGACGTCGCCCAACCCCAGTAGCTGTGACAAAAATCGCCCGCTTTCCGCTTTGAGATTCGAGAGCAGCAGCCACCTTAGGGCTCACACGAAGGTGGCCGACAAGAGTATGGCACTTGCCTACTTTTTTCCATTGCCATGTTCCGCCGACAAGGGTTGACACGGGCGTCACTTTCCAGTTGGCCATTTCGGTCAAAAAATGGACTTCGCTTTGTCCCATTCCCCTTGTGGCAAAAAGGCCTCTCGATACTGAGCAGGAGCGCAGACCCGGATGGAGACTTTGGGATCAGGCTGATATTTCTGAAGATTGGTAGTTTTGGGATCCCTAGGTTTGGGAGCCAAAGAAGCCAAACCAAGGCAAGCAAAAGTCATTTTTTCAAGTTTCATTCTATTTGGGCCACGTTTAACTGACACCTTCACATGCCGACCTTCAGCCAATGAAACTTTACCATCAATCAAAACAGATAATGGAGAAAGACATTCCATGGCTTTTCTCATGTCTTGGATTTCCAATAAATCATCCAGGCTTCGAACACACACCAAGTTGTACTCACTCTGTTTCCCGTCACCAACTTGTTGAATGTAAGCATTCTTATGCCCCAGTTTGATGGCCATTGACCATTCACAAGGGTTGACAGCACTGATAGGCGGACCATGCGCGATCTGAGGTTGCGACTGTGGTCTGACCGTGGTTTTTCCCGACTGCTCAACCCCAAAGTTGTTTCTGAGGTTCGCGCGTTGGGCAGGACGTTTGGTTTGCTCCCATTCCCAGAGAGTGTTTTGCAAGTGTTCAACCACCTCTTCGTCTTTGGTTTTTTGTTGTTGACAAGTATTCAAGAAGGTCAACAAGGTTTGAACCAAATTCTCATCAGAATGAGTTTGGGGGGCCTCGTAATTCCAATAACCATAGTCGTAATCATCGCTCGACCCCTTGTACCAATCCTGGGAAGACGCCGTAGAACTGGTTTTCTGTGTTTTCCGTGCTGGCGGGTGTTGTTTCTGCCATTGTGACAAAAATTCTCCCAGGGCACTGGCAAGACTGTTGTTGTCTTGCTTTTCTTGTCTTTTTCTGCGCGTGACACGGGACCCCATAGGCATACCACCCCTGAGATTCCAAGCCCACTGAGGCAATCCGAAATGATTTTCTTTTCCACTGTGAGCATCATCAGTTTCCTTGTTTATTTTGGCAGCCATGCACTGAGAGTGACTGTTCCATTTGTCCAAAAAACTTGTGACGGCATGCACAACCCTATTGCCAAGATGTCCCCTTGGACCGGCTGGTTGTGCGCATTGCGAATCCATGGCGTTGGCAATCTGAGGGCTGGACGTTGCAGCACATTGAAACGCAACTTCAGGTGTTTTTGGCACCTGAATATTCCATCTGTTTTGGATCAAAAAGACGCACTTTCGGACCCGAGCATTGTCTTGACAGCCAATGCTTTTCAAAGGGGCCGCTCTGAAACAATTGCCCAGACCCCTAGCACCTCTAATTCCACAAATTCTCTGCGGACCAACCATCCTAGCTTTTTGGACCACAGTGTCACACAGGCACCGTTGGCATGCTTGTCGCCATGGACCTGTTCTTTTGAGTAGCTGAAACCAAGTGGGAACCGCCACTTTACGCAGCTTAGGTCGAACAAGTCTTCTGGGGGGTTTAATGGTGACCGGATAGTACCGACGAACATACAACCACAGTAACCAATGGCATAACTCTCCCAAAAAACTCAACCCAACACACATGAGCCACAGAGGCGACTGCAAAAGCCAGGCATCAATTCCTGCAAGAAACTGCTGCAGCCTCGAAATCAAAATCTCACGTGCTCCATCTATACTCAAGCGCAGCATCTCCCAGCGCCGCGGAGCAACAAGCAGCGGCACGGCGGAGTGACAGCGCACACGACGTCGACAGGCAGCCGACATGGCTTGCCCACTGGTGACGTCGAGGTGTTCTGGGGGGCCTTTGATATGCGTCTTTGCCATACCAGGAAGGCCGGTAGAGAAACTGATGCTTTTCCAAAGGCCCGAGGTCATTTCGAGATCAGGCGGTGCTTTCTGTCCACAAAGTTCAGTGGACGGATTCCATGGGGCTGAGATCGAAGCGAAATCAGCCCAGGTTTCCTGACATGCAGAGGCAGGCAAAAGCAGACACAAGCAGCAGCACAGCCGCAGCCACGGCGCCCAGCCAACCCTGGTCATCCTTCTGTTGCTCACTACGAGCTTTTTTCTGAAGGATGTCACTTCTTCTTTTTTTTTGGCTTTCCAGCTCTTCTTTTTCTTTGTTTTTTTGATTTTGCTTTTTTTCTTTTTTTTTGATGTTTTTCTTCTTGATGCATTTTTGAATTCCTCTGTTCTTTCATACTCTGTGTCAGCGTGGCTAAAACCACGCATCCAAGCTGCACTACTCCGTACCCAGAGCCGCGCTGCAGACAGCGCTGCATCCAAGCCCGCATCCCCCACTTGGAGGCGTAGTGCGGAATGCCGAGAAGGCCAGTCAGCAGCAGCATAGACAACGGCAGCGGCCACTCGGCGCAGCAAAGCCGCACCATTCCGCTGCACCACGCAGCAGAGGGCCCACCACCCGCAAAGCACTGCCACCTTAGTTGCCACCGTACCTGCACCTCAGGAGCAGGTCACGGCAAGCAGCCAAATGTTGCACCACCTGATTATCACCCCAACCAAATCTTCGCATTAATGGATCCTGAGGAATAACCGGGCGACTTCGCGCCTGAGGAGAATTTTGACACTCCCATGCCACATGATGAAAATGACCACAGCCGTCACACCACGGACACTTTTCCTGAACATCGTCAGCCTGCTTTGTCCGCATCTGCGGAGACACAAATGCACCCGTCAAAACAGCAATGACATTCTTATTGGCACCCGAAGTCATTTTCCGAGTGTTTTCAAGAAGCAACTTTGGGTACTCCCTATCCCCAAATTCAACCAGTTCATGACGTTGGGATGCCATGTACTTTTGCCACCAATGCCACCTCCATGCCTCGCGGAGGAGATGAGCGATCCACTCAGAATCATCAGACCAGTCTTCTGAGCTAGAATTCAGACTAAGCTTGAAATGGAATGCAGGGTGTTGCCAAACCCAAGGCACCACAGATGACCATCCAAGAGACTGAAGCCATTTCTTGGCTCTCTGAGCCGGACCTCCAGAGAGGTCCCAATCACTGAAGATTCTTCGGATCCGACGAACAGTGCGATGAACCGCACCGATGAGCGCCGCACCAGATTGAAACTGAATGTCCACTGGGTGACCCATCACCAACCTAATGAGCGCAGGAGAGGACATGCGATGGCAGTAGCCCACCCTTCGGAGACGAGTTTCCAACTTAGACATGAGCCCGGTTCCAGGGGGAGCACGGACCAACCACCCGTAAGTTGCTTTGCTACCTGCGGCAAGTGCGCCAACAAACGATCTTCGAGCTGCTGAGATAGGAGCCAAACGAACCTTAGCAGCACAAGCCATTGCCTTTTCGATGCGGCCTTGTTCCTTAGGCAGCATGGACCCAAAACCCATAGCAGCGCCTAAGGCAAAAAGGTTTTCAGTCACTCCATTGCACAGCTCTTCTAACTGCATCATATCTTGACGCTTGGTAGGCTGCCTGTGAGCGAACTGACTTTTAAGCTTGTTTTCTTTGAATCCCAGCTTTGCCGAGTGTTCATGCCAAAGATGGAGAACATTCAGAAAGGAAGGCAAGGTGGGAGAACACCAAGATCTATCATCGACAAAAACAACGTGACAAGTGTCAGGCTCTTGTTGCACAATATGACGCATGGGCATACTCATGATCAAATTGAGAACTCTCGGCGAAAGACTATCGCCTTGCGGGATGCTACTACGCACACCTTGGATTCGGGGGCACACTTCTTTGTTCCACGAAAGGATACGCAATTGACCTTCCCAAATTTTTTGAATAGCAGCCGCCAATTTTCGGGGAAAACCTTTCCAAACTAAAGTATCACAAGCCAAGCTCGGGCGCACATGGTCAAAGCACTTGGAGAGATCTAATGATCCCACATAGGCTCCTTTGGCAAATCCCTCAGCAAGTTCACAAAAGCTACCTTGACTGTCTCGATTGCGCCTACCTCCAGCCTGGGTAGTCAACAAATGCGATTCCAACCAACGTCTTTCGATGTCCCCATCTAAGCGGGCACTCACATAAATTCTCCACCAACACGACATGAGGCTTATTGGTCGAAGTTTGCTGGTCGGGGTGGCGCTGTCAGAGAGCCTTTGACCGTTTCCTTTGGGGAGCATCACCTGTGTCATGAAGTGCCAGCACTTTGGGAAACATCCCAGCTGCTCCCAGGCTTGAAACACAAATTCCAGGTCAGCCCACATGTTGTACGGCCAAGCTGCCATTTCGCTGCCAGTCCAGCCGTCAGGGCCCCCGGCTCGGTGCCTTTGTCTAGCAGCCGAGGCACTAAGAGCCTGTGCAGAAACAGGGCTCCAATTTTCTTCGACTTCAGGGGCCCCGCCATATTCACGAAGATATTGCTGCGGAGTCCAAGCATCGCTATTGTCACGGTTCCAAACTCTCTGCCAAAAGGATTCGATTTTGACCAAGGCACCAGAGCTGTCCATGCTAGCTGGGTCGTCAGGATCGACTTCGTCGTCATACAAGGTAACAGTGGGCGCCGATTCGGAGGACCGCACCCATCGAAAGACCTGAGCGTTATCTTGCTGCAAGCGAACCTTCCAATTGCTAAGTCTGCTCTGCCGGCTCGCCTCGGTTTGACGCTGAACCTCAGTTTCGGCATCCTTGGCAGTCATTCCTGCTTGGTACAGAGGGCATCTGCGGATGCGTTTCCAAAGCTTTTGAAGATCCTTAGAATTCTCAACAGTGTTGTCATGATGCTGTCTTCTCTCGGCCTCACTGAGCCTTCCCCACAACCGCATCCAGGTGCGAAGCTGATTAGAGGCAT